CATCAAAATACCGAATATCGGGGGATACCGTTATATGGGGGCTATACCAAAAAGTGGACCTACGTGGCCCATTTTCAATACTAAAAGTCCTGCAGACATAACATACATTTGAGCAAAATTTTATCAATCTACTTCGGATTCGTTCGGAAGCTAGAGTGATTTCCACAGACGGATAGACGGTCGGACATCGCTAAATCGACATAGAATTGTATGCTGATAAAGAATATATATACTTTGTGGGGTCTAAAATGTGTGTTTCGAGGTGTTACAAACGGAATGACAAACTTAATATACCCTCCATACTATGGTGGAGGGTATAACAAAACAAGTTAAGAAGTATCATTTGGTTTTGCCGACAGATACACACCCTCAGCCAATGTTCTATTAATTAAATAAATTTCGACTTCTGTTATGACAATTTGAATAAGTTGACCCTCTAGGGAGTAGATTCCGAAGGAATTTTCCATTTCGTATCGCACATAAATAAATATGATATAAATATTGCGACGTGTCAGGTTTGGACTATACTGGTTACTAACTTCACCTTATATGAGATATTCAACTTTTAGAAAATGTTGAAATGTGCGTGAGGTACCAGATATAGTCGGCCGAAGTATTGGTATGGCTAAAAATTACAAGAAAATGCAACATTTATTTCCAATTTTATGTGAAATCATAATTCCGTATTCATCCCAGGTTTCTGGTTGAGAGAAATATTGATATTGAAATCGCTTGCATGTCTCGACAGATAAAAGTAGTGAAAATTGTGACCCTTTGTGGGTGAGGTACCAGAAAGCTTTCGCAGATATATATCATCGTCACAACAGATCTTGTGTTAGGAAAAATATTTTTGTATGTGTGAAATTTGAGGGAGTTGGTTGCTTATTTTGCTTCTTGGAGCGTTTTGTTTTTCAAAATCTTGAACCTTATGTGGGAGGAGGTACCAAAAGCAATGGTCCGATCTCGACCATTTTTTTAACAGATCTTTAGTTGATGGAAATATTGAGATGTGCCAAGTCTGGAATGGAAGTCTGAATGTAATCTGATGTTAATTACACGTTTTATGAGCTTCATGGATATTCAAAATTTTGACCCTTTGTGGGGGAGGTACTAGAAGGAGTGGACCGATATATACCATCCTCACAGCAGATTTTGTGTTAGTAGAAATCATGAGATGTGTGAAATATGAAGAGAACCGAATAGTTTTTTCGATTTTTTAATCGTCTTGGTTATTCAAAACATGGACCCTTTGTAGGGGAGGTACCGATCCCTACCATCTTTAGAGCATATCTTGTGTTAATGAAAATATTGAGATGTGCTATGTCTGAAATGGAAACGGATGTTAATTACGCGTTTTATGAGCTTCATCGATATTATAAATTCTGACTCTTTGTGGGGGAGGTACCAGAAGGAGTTGACCGATATAGCCTATCTTTACAGAATATCCAGTGTTAGTAGAAATATTGAGATGTGTGAAATTTGAAGAAGATCATATGTTTATTTCGAGCTTTACGAGCTTAATGGCAATTCCAATTGTTGACCCTTTGTGGTCGAGTTACCAGAAGGAGTAGACCGATACTTTCCATCTTCACGACAGAACTTGTGTTAGTAGAATATTAATGTGTGAAATATGAAGAGAACCGAATGCTTATTTCGATTTTTTAATCGTCTTGGTTATTCAAAATATGGACCCTTTGTGGGGGAGGTACCAGAAGGAATGGGTAAATTTTTATCATTTTTTCAACAGATCTTGTGTTGATAGAAATATTGAGATGTGCCAAGTCTGAATGGTATCTGATGTTAATTTCACGTTTTATGAGCTTCATGGATATTCGAAATTTTGACCTATTGTGGGGAAGGTACTAGAAGCAGTGGACGGATATATACCATCTTCACAGCAGCTCTTGTTTTAGTAGAACTAATGTGATGTGTGAAATATGAAGAGAACCGGATGCTTATTTTGGATTTAATAATCCTTTTGGTTATTCGAAACTTTGACACTTTGTGGAAGGGGTGCCAGGAGCAATGGTCTGACCTCTTCTACTATGTTTATAACATATCTTGTGTTGATGGAAATATTGAGACTTTACAAAATGGAATCGGATGTTCATTTCGGGTTTTTTGGTATGTGTAAAATACGATGGGAACTGGATGCTTATTTCGGATTTTATAATCGTTTAGGTTATTCAAAACGTTGACTCATTGTTGGGAGAGATACCGGAAGGAGTGGACCGATATATTCCATCTTCACACCAGACTTTGGGTTAATAAAATTATTGTCTTGTGTGTAGTTATTCAAAATTTTGACACCTTTTGGGGGAGGTACTTGATGGAGGGTACCGAGATTGTTTATTTTCGTACCTGAGGAAGCACTGATAGAAATATTAGGATTCCAGCAAAATCGGAAATTTTTGCTTTTTTTGAGCAATAAAATATTTTTTTTTTGAAAATTTCGAACTTTTGTGGCAGACGTACCAGAAGAAGTGGACCGATATTGTCCGTCTCCGAAGTCGATTTAAGTTTGATAATAATATTGTGATGTACCAAGTTTAGGCCAGATCGGATACTCCCTCCTAGAGTTATCGTGCGCACCAGCCAGACAGACAGGCGCACATGGCTAGATGGACTCATAATTTCCTGAAACACATTTATTCTAAAGAGAAACGACTAGGTACCTTTTGGCCGTATCAACTGATTTATACCCTCTCTGGCTGAGGGTATAAAAATTATGAGTTTTGGCCGACATATGTATTCCCTCAACTAATTTCCGTTTATTTAAACATATTTTGACTTGCGTTAAGCTTTTTAAAACTGTTGACGCTTTAAGGGGGCGGTTTCCACTGACATGCGTGGCAAGTTAGAGAGATATAAGTATTCGAAAAGTTTGACCCCTTTTGGGGGGAGATACCATAAGGACTGGTCTGTTACATCCCACATTCCCAGGAGATCTTGTGTTAATACAATTATTGGGATGTGTGTGGCATTTGAAGAATACCGGAGACATAATTATTCAAAAATTTGACTAGGTATTAGGTAACAGAAGGAGTGGATATTTGTGGAAATTTGTAAATTATAAGATATTTTTTCACATTTTGTAAGAGTAATAATTATTAAAAATGGTGAACTTTTGTAGGGGAGTTACTTTATGGCCTTAGAAGATATTGTCCTGACGTAGTGCTGATAAAAAATATTAGGATTTGCAGGATAAGGCAAGATCTCTAAGTTTGATAATGATACAACGATGTACCAAGTTTGGACCTAATCGGATACTGCGTTTAATTGTTATTGTGCGCACTGGCCAGCCAGACAGACGCAAGGATATCCCTAGATTGACTCCAAATGTTCTGATACAGGCTTGCTCCGACCTAGGATATAAAACCGGTTGTTTGGATGAGACACATTTTGGCTGTATCAAACAATATATACCTTCTATAGCCATATGATGTTCAACTCTTTTCATTGTGACCTATTCTCACTCCGAAATTTACCTCGGGGGATTTGTTTGAGTTTTTTGAGAATTTTGAGAAAAGGACCTGTTTTTTAAATTCATCATCCACTCATCTGTGTTTTGATTCAATTAAATCTGTTCACACTTATTTAGGTTTAGCATTACATTTTAATTGCTTTCCCTTTTTCCTTAATTTATTATTTTTGTAACATATTTTCCCATCTTTTTGTTGTTGTTGCTGTTGTAATAAATCATTTATATTAATACTTTGCTAAAAATCAATTAAAACTTTGAGAGCGAACGGCAATATGCCGTTTGTCAATGTGTTAGTGGTCGTAGATTTGTTTTTGCCACAATCATCATTTCTGACCACAAAATGTATGGCACATTGTTAGGCGGTCGCATAAATGATTGTAAATAAATTGTTGCATATTTTCGGGAAATAAATTACAAAAACGCACACACACACACAGACACTCTCGCATAAAACTCAATCCTAAATCAATTCAAGTTGAAAATCACAACAGATTTAAATGTTAGGGCCAATTAGAAAAAACATATTTTATTTATTTGAGGATTTTTAAATGGAAATCAATTTTTTGGAATAATAAATGTGCGGACAATTTTGGTACGATTTTTAAATGAAAATATATTTCGGGATAATAAATGTGTGGACAATATTTTGGAACAATATAAAAATATGTGTTAAATAATTAAATTATCTTTTTCGCTTATTTTCAGGTGAATTTTTAGTGGAGAGTTGAAAGAAAAATTATTTGGAAATTTTGTAAAAAAAATTATGGAATCATAAAAAGGTCTGGTTTTCCGGGAAACCAAGTGTCAAAAAAATTCAAACAAAAACCCATTGGAAAGAATTAAATACGAGAAAAAAAAGAAGTGCTAAAAATATGACGCCTTAATGAATTAAAAAACAACAGCTGGGCTACTTCCTGTTTCCCATAAAAATTGACAAAATGTGAACGAAAAGGAAAAAAAATAAATGAAACAGAAAAAAAAGCTTTGCTTTCACAATTTGTTTGACGCTATATGGCCATGATTAAATCCATAAAACATTAAAGGGTCTACATTTGAGGAAAATACAAATTAACGCGTCAGCCCAGAGCCACCAAACCACCCACCCACTATCCAACAAAGCTGAAAGGGTGTTTGAGACAACCAAAAACAAGTAAAACCCCTTAAGCCACAATCAAACAAACCCAAGTCAAAAAAAAGGAAAAATAAGCAAGTGTTGCCGGTTGGAAAAAGAAAAAAGTGCTGCATACTTTGAGGCTTTCTTTGAATTGAAGCAAAGAGAGGTGCCTACTTTTAGGCTTCCTTTCAAGTGAAAAGAATACAGAAACATTTATTAAAATTTAATTAAATAATTTCCTTCAAAAAAAGGGAAGTTGACAAAGCAAAATACCCCAAGCCACACAAAGGCAGGGGAAACCCCACAAGAGAAGGAGAGACCAGGGGAAAACAAACTTTTCCGAAAAACCTTATTAATCAAAAAAGTTTTCTCTTTGCAACTTTAAAGCCAATGGAAATTTCGTCTGTATCCTTTGAAGTGACCAAAAGCCATAAACTGTTGTTAATAGTTAAAGAAAAATAAAAACGAAAAACCGAGTGAAAATACATTTGTCAATAACTATAAAAAGCCACATTAAAAGGCCATTGTTCAGTGTTGATATCTCCTGAATCGCCATCATTCTCTCTCTTTTCGGCTGCAGTGCAAAAAAAACCATTAAACACGCCAATAAATGTTGGGATTATTGAATTTCTATTACCTGGACGGCAATAAAAAGGTAAGTACCCAAAACACTTCTCCTTCTCATGCTAGCTGAAAATTTACTGGTGGGTGACCCTCCAGCCAGAGACTAATAGAAAAAAGAAACCAAATAAAAACGCTCCATATTATGTTATCCTGTATGTTGACATGTAACTGCCCGGCTAGGAAGTTCATGGACAATGAACCATGTTACTGTTCCTGTTTTTTTTATTATTTTTCTGACAGACCATAAAAAGTAATAAAAATTGAACTTACAGTACATATATACAGGGTGAGATAAAAAAAATGCAACAAATTCAAGCGCTATAATTTTTATACCCTCAACCATACTATGGAGGGTATATTAACTTTGTCATTCCGTTTGTAACTCCTCGAAATACTCATGTCAGACCCAACAAAGTATATACATTCTTGATCAGCGTAAAATTCTAAGTCGATTTAGCGATGTCCGTCTGTATGTCTGTCTGTCCGTCTGTCTGTCTGTTGTAATCACGCAATCTTTCGGTGGAATTGAGATAGAAGGCTAAAATTTTGCACACATGTTTATTTTTTCTGTAGGCAGGTTAAGTTCGTAAATGGGCCATGTAGGTCCACGTTTTCATATAGCCCCCACATAACGGTTCCTCCCGATATTCGGGATTTTGATGATTTTAGCGACATTATTTAACGGAATGGTTTCAAATTTGGTATTTGAAGTTCGAAATGGATACTACAGCCTAAGACTGAAAATTGTATGTGCAGGCCCACGTCTTCGTATTGCCCCCATATATCGGTACCTCCCGATGTTCGGTATTTTGATAATTTTAGCGACATTATTCACCGGAATTGTTTCAAATTTGGTCTTTGAAGTTCGAAATGGATACTACAGCCTACGACAGAAAATTGTATGTGCCGGCCCACGTCTTCGTATAGCCCCCATATAACGGTACCTCCCGATATTCGGTATTTTGATGATTTCTGCGACAATATTCCTCGGAATTGTTTCAAATTTGGTATTTGAAGTTCGAAATGGATGCTACAGCCTAAGACAGAAAATTATCTGGGCAGGTCCACGTCTTCGTAAAGCCCCCCATATAACGGTACCTCCGGATATTGGGTTCTTCGTTGATTTTAGCGACATTATTCATCGGAATTGTTTCAAATATGGTATTTAAGGTTCGTAATGGATACTACAGCCTAAGACAGAAAATTGTCTGTGCACGTCTTCGTATAGCCCCCATATAGCGGAACATACAGATATTCGGTATTTTGATGATTTTAGCTACATTATTCACCGATTTTTTTAAGTTTCACATTTGAATATTGCAATGGCTTATGACAAAAGTTGCCTATGCAGGTCCACGTGGTCGTATAGACCTTAATATAACGGCAACATACGGTATTTTTTAGAATTTTAACAGAATTTTTAAAGGATTTTATTTTTTTGGAAAATTGCCAAATTCGTTCCAAATGGTGGAGGGTATTCAAAGTTCGGCCCTGTCAAGCATACAGCTTTTTTACTTGTTTTATTTTTTTAACATTTTATTGAATTTAAGCAGAAAATGTCGGAAATAGCATCAAATTTTAGAATAAGTTTAGATTTGTGCGAATTGTTCACTTTTGGCACGAATTATGGCCTTCAAACGGCCAATGAAACCGTCACACGCTGCCCGAATGTTGCTCTGTGGTGATCGACACTTTGGTAGTGCCAACTTTGCTTTCCAAAATACTCCAGACACAATAGTCCAACGGATTTGTATCCGTAGATTTTGGTGGCCATTGAGCGCTGGAAATGAAGCGAGGAATCTTAATTTGTAACCATTCTTGAGTGGCAACAAAGTCAAACCCCATAATTTTGATTTTTTTTTAAATTTTATTGAATGAAAGCAAAAAATGTCGGAAATAGTATCAAATTTTAGAATAAGTTTAGATCGGAATTGGTCACCTTTGGCACGAATTATGGCCCTCAAACGGCCAATGAAACCGTCGCACGCTGCCCGAATGTTGCTCTGCGGTATTTTGTCCAATTCCCGGCGAAGCGCTTGCTTGAGGTGATCGACACTTTGGTATTTTTTAGTGCCAACCTTGCTTTCCAAAATACTCCAGCGGACACAATAGTCCAACGGATTGGTATCCGGAGATTTTGGTGGCCATTGTGCGCTGGAAATGAACCGAGGAACCTCATTTTGTAACCATTCTTGGGTGGCGCTTGCTGAGTGCGAAGGTGCTGAGTCCTGTTGGACTCAAGCGACCAAGGTCTGCGGCAAAAATGTTTGCTTGCCCAAGGCATTTCTATACCCTCCAGAATATTTTCGCGATAATATTAGGCATTAATTCTGATGTCGATTAATACGAGCGGAGAGCGACCATTGGCTGTTATGGCGGCCCACATCATCACCATGGCTGACGCTTGAGTTCTGGTGGCCAACCAAAGGTGCATATTTTCATCTGACCTCTTTGGAAAGTGAACACGATCATAATTTGGTTGGATACAAACTGCTGGACAACGAATGTTTTCTCATCGGAAAAACCCAAATTCGGCAGTTCACCACTTTCGCCCAAGCGAAGCAACTCTTTAGCTCTTCTGAGTCTATTTTCTTTCTGTTGCGGTGTAAGTGCCTTCACGTTTTGGGATTTCAATGGCTTTACCCCGAGCTCATTTCTCAATATTTGCCGAATGGAATATTGCGATATGTTCAGCTCACGAGCCATTTTTCGGCCACTGCGACGTTTTGCGGGTTTCGATAAAGTCGTTTCTTTACTTTTCGAACCATTTCTGCTGATGTTGCTGTTTTCTTCCGTCCAGTCCCTTGGCATCGGGGTACACTACCCGTATCACTGTAACGAGCGATGGTACGAGCCACAAGAGACTTATTCGCATTTAAATGCTAGAGTACTCTAACGATAGCCACTTGTTGTTTTCCAGCCAAATATAAAGAAATCTCATTATCACCCTTGAATTCCATCACGAATAACTTTTTTTCGGGAAAATTCTCACCAAACTGCTTTTGTACGCTTGTAAACAATATAATAAGCTGTCACTGGAATAATTTTAACAGCTGTCGGACGAGTGACTTAGTACTGACAGCAGTCTGAAGTTGGTTGCTGTTTTATCATTTCACCCCGTATGTATGTACCTGTGATGGTCATGGTGGCTCCCCACGTTCGAACAACAAATAACATATCATCCTAGTCCTCTCTTTTTTCTCCTGCTGTCAATTCATTGCCACATCTATAAAAATTCTTTTATAGATGACCAGCCGGCAATTGGGCTGGTTGGCTGGCAAAGAGTAAAGTGAAATTTATTATAAAATAATTGCTTTTTATTGTTGCGGTTGGTTTTATGTTACTTAATGCCCATTTATATACTGTATCGGATATCGTAAATCGATACTATTTTAGTTGGCTTTTTTTTGTTTCTTTTCCATAAATACGGATTAATGGTGGCTGACTATGGAAATTGATGATTATGACAATTAATAAAGGATACGCAACGAAGTGAGAATACGATTTAGTTTTATTGTCCAGCATTACTTGGAAAGGTTTTAGAAGTTTATTGGATATGCTTTTCTGATTTTTTTGGCATTGCAAAGTGTGATAGAACAAGATAACAAGTATCAGTCGGTTTTACCGACTCCCAGCAAATGTTCGGTTACTTAATATAATTTGACTTCTGCTAACCCTCTATGGATTGGGTTCTGAAGGAATGGCCCAAGATTGTCTTTTTCCGTATCGGACCTGACTAAATATGAGATAAATATTGCGACGTGCCATATTGGGACTATATCGACTCTTCCTTCATTTTATATGAGATATGTGCCAATTTTTGGAAAATGTGGAAATATGCATGAGGTACAAGATATAGTGGGCCGAAATATTCTACTTCATCCAATAAAGATAAAAACATTGGTATGGGCAAAAATATGTGAATCATAAATTCCATATTCTCTGTCTGGTTGAGAGAAATATTTAGTTGTAAACAATCGCTGACTTGTTGTGCAAGTTACGACAGATAAAAGTATTGAAAATTGTGATCCTTTTTGGGTGAGATGTCAGAAGGTATTCGCAGATATATATCATCTTCACAACAAATTTTGTGTCAGGAAAAGTGTTTGTGTGTGTGAAATTTAAAGAGAGTTGGAAGCTTATTTCGTCTTTTTTGAGCGTTTCGTTTTTTAAAAATTTGAAAATTTCGACTCTAAATATCCTGAAACGGATTTGGTCCAAAGAGACTTAGAGTCTAAACCCGTTATTTTGATGAGCCATGTTTCGACTATGTCAAATGATATATACCCTCCCTCTCTATCACATGGCTGATGGTATAAAAACATACCAGCGAAGTGAAAGATTTTCTGAAACAGTTAAACCATTTCGCTTCCTCTGTTCGATTTTTAGAACAGTAAAAAACACCTTTATCAAAAAAATATTTATATATGAAATGGATAAAATTTTAAACGAATGTTTATGTATCTGTCAGTAAATAAAAAATGTTGAAACTTTACGGTTCGAAATTTCGAACACTGGTTTCTGCAAGAACGAAAAATCGGAACATTTTTCTGATTGTTTTTTCTGACATCAGTGGGCCTAAATTACCCTAAAAAAGTATTTTTTTTTTTTAAATCAAAAATTGCAAGTAAGCAGAGGCTATAGTTGTGCTGGCCAACCATGTGATAAATTAAATTAAAAAAAAATTAATTTTTTAGTTCATTTGAACCCCTAAATGTACATCTTAAGACCTATAGGCTTTAATTCTGATTGTGGAAATTTTAGTATGTTCCTGCGTTAAATTTAGGTTATTTTTTTCCGCTAAATATTGTTCGCTAGCCGCCCAAATTGGTAGGTTGATTACAAATTAAATGGACATACAGGCGGGCGGACATACATAGCTAGATTGACTCAGCTCGGCGAGATGGGAAGATGCAAATATAGGTTCCTACGTGAGGGATCAATATATCGAGTTGTTACATAATTTTTGGCTCAATCAAACTTATAATAGCTTAGCTTTTTAGGGTATGCAAATTAAATCTCGGAACGAAA